ATTTGCTCAATTTATTATGAATAATCCCAAATTTTTATTATTCTAGAATAATCCCAATTTTAGTTTTACCTCCATTTTTTTTCTTTAATCTCAAAAATCGGCAACCTGCTAAAAAGGTTATTTTTTTTCTAATATTTCACGTGTCGCTCAATTACTAGTCCAAAAAATGAAAAAAAAAATTAAAATTGACAAACACCTCCCTCTCTTCCATCCCGCTAGAAAAACGTCCCCCTTCTCAGCCCGTCGGAAAAACTCTCCCTCCCAACTCGCCGGAAAAACTCTCCCATTCCCAGAATACTAGAAAATTTCCCTTCCCAGCACCATCCCCTCCAAATTAAGCCTACCGCAAAAATCCGTCACCTTCCCCTTTATTGTTTTCTTTCACTCTCTCTCTTTCATATCATGAATCTGGTGCTCCTCCACCACTTAAACCCTGGTTTTGATGGATGGGAGGAAATCTTCAGGTAGGGAAAGCTTTCATTTAGGGTGGAAGCTTTCATTTGGATTTTTGAGGTTTGAGTTAAGGGCAGTTTCGGAGCATGGGGTTCTAGTTTTGGTGGTGGGGCTAGGGAGAAGGGTATGTTAATTTGTTACAATCATGTGGTTATGGAAGGAGCAAGGGTGCTTTTGGCGATGGGGCAGGGGTAGGAGGTGGTTATTAGGGCTGAGGCCTGGGTAAGTAGGTGGTTGTGGCTGTCAGGCTGGGTAATGGGCTGTTTATTTTTTCTATTTTAAGGTTATTTTTTTAATTTATTTTTTTATTGAACCACTCACATGACAACACATGGTAAATAACCTACAACAATAGGTTGTTGAATTTTGTTGATCGATTAGGGATCGTTAGAAAAAACAGGTTAAAGTTGGAATTGTTGCGTAATAATCAAAAGTTGGGATTATTCAAAGTAATTGAGCAAAGTTGGAATTATTTATTGAACTTTTCCTTCTTTTAATTTCTAACATTTACAACATATAGAACCTACATATATATTATTTGCAATAATCATTCACAAAATATAATATTTACATGAAATTTACTGCATGTTCTCATTGATTGACTGAACTCAGCTGAACTAAACTGAGCTAACTGAACTGAGCTAAACTGCAGTGAATTGAACTGAACTGAACTTATTAATTAGTGATTTTTAACTACAGATTAGTGATCTTTGATTATTTATTATTATACATATGTGTATATACAAATATACATATTAAAATATTTAATAAAAATATACTATATAATCAAAATAATTATGAAAAATGTAGTAATAACATGAAACCCCAAAACATTTTAAAAACATATACTATTTAATTACAAAATAAAATTAGTTTAAGTTGTGTAGTACTCTCATTTTGTCAATGAGTTTAACATTATTATTATTATTATTATTATTATTATTATTATTATTATTATTATTATTATTATTATTATTATTATCTCAAAAACAAAAGTCATACAACCTACAATAAATTAGTGGGAAGCCGAGATACAATTTGGGCCCCCACTCTTCTAGCTATAGCAAAGCCTACCCTAGTGAATATATGAGCTGCAACACGAGCCCCAATGTCTTGCGTCATTGAGAACCTTTGAATCCGCTTCAACAACGCAAAAACCTCCTTCTCTAAATCCCCAAGCGAAGAAAAGAAGAAGGGAATGAAACCATATCCAATCGCTAGACAACGAGCTTCATACTTAACCCGCTTCCGATGAGCCGCATCAGTCACAACCCGTACCGGAACAAAGTCAGATAGCCCTGTTTGTATTATTATTATTATTATTATTATTATTATTATTATTATTATTATTATTATTATTATTATTATTATTATTATTATTATTGTCGTTGTTGTAATAAGAGCTTAAATGAATGAATTTTCTTTATATCATTAGCAATATCATTAGACATAAACTAAACTGATTGGACTTGTACTGAACTGAACTGAACTAATTAGAGTTGAACTGAACTGAACTGAATTAAAAATAAATGAATGAGAACAGGCCCTTATTTTTCATAAAATGCATTTTTTTTAACAATAAAACTACCAACATACGCTTACTTTAATTTAATTTATACATTAAATCAAATTAATATAACTGAACTCATTCTCATCTATATCTATATCCATATCTTTATTTTAGTATTTAAAAACTCAAACCATGACACACACGTCCCCATCCTATATTCTCTTTTCCAATCCAATGCGCTAAATGTTCACTATTTCAATCCAATGTGCCACGTGGTTGCTAACTTGCTATTCCAATCTAATGTGCCACGTGTGCACTATTCTCTTTTTAATTCAAAGGAAAAGTAATTAATTAATTAACAATTATAAAAATATAATCAAAAACTTATAAAGCTACGTATGTAATAATTGTATATTATTACACAAAATAAATAAAGAAATAGGAAATTTTGTGAAAAACTACCTATTATAATCTAGAATTTGCGAGAAACTACCTATTAAAAAAAATGTTGTAATTGACTACCTAAATTTTTTAAAATGTTGTAATTTACTACCTTTACGCCGGATTATGAAGGAGTTTGATCAAAATTCTCCGGCATTGACTTGGTCACGTGACACTTGTGAAAAAAAAGGGTCATTAAGTGTCACGTGATGGTCACGTGACCAAGTCAACACCGGAGAACTTTGGTCAAACTCGTTCATAATCCGGCGTAAGGTAGTAAATTACAACATTTTTCGAAAATTAGGTAGTCAATTACAACATTTTTTTTAATAGGTAGTTTCTCGCAAATTCTAGAGTATAATAGGTAGTTTTTCACAAAATTTCCAAAGAAATAATTATCGTTACAGACTTTTGCATAGTTCATCTTCTATCTCATTGAGGTGATTCTTCTACTCCCTTTACAACAATTAATTCCTAAATAAATGTGCCATTTAACCTTTAATTTACAATAACCATTCATTTTCCCTTCAAATTCAATACCTCGGTCTTTTCCCTTCTTTAGTACGTAGCCTACTATATTCCAATTCAATAATACTCCTCAAAAAAATACACTTTGTAATCATATCAATTATAATTTTAATCCACAATTACTTAATGGGATTTCCTCTCTCATCTCTCTGCATAAAATTTTGACTCTATAAAATAAAGACCTATCGTCGTATTCATATGCATGTTCTGATTGGTGAGTTACTTTGATCTTTTGAGTTTGTTTATTTATATGTTGATTTTGATATTGATTTTCTTATCTATTTATGTATTGCTTCTTTTTACTTAATTTGAATTCAATCAACTTTAATTTTGATTTTTCATAGTGTTTCCTTGGTTGATCACGTTGTTGAGATTGTTTATACAATTTTTGCATGTTTAATTTATATTGTTTTCCTTAATTTTATGTTTTACTCGACTTTATATGTTATTTGAGGCTTTGGGTAGAGACGTAGTGTACTCAATAATTAAAGCACGATTTTTACTATTGTTTATGAAGTATGTTAAACTAAGCACAAAACATCAAAGAATACTTTATCTAATTCTCATTCATCACAAATATCACAATACATGAATATATAACACTTAGGATAATAATATCCTCAATATTCTGTCATATCTTTTCATAAGATATGTTTCCTAAATTATGCACAATAATATCACAATAAGATAATTCTAGATACACTAGAATATCTCCAATACCCCTCCTGAAGTGGGAGCATACGGATCATATATGCCCAACTTGCGGAGTAAAAAATCAAACTTGACCTTTCCCAAAGCCTTTGTGAAAATATCGGCCAACTGAAAAGTCGTAGGCATATACGACAGTTTTATCAGACCCTCTGTAATAGCATCTCTAACAAAATGACAATTAGCTTCAATATGTTTCGTGCGCTCATGAAACACGGGATTTTTCGCAATATACAACGCCGACTGACTGTCACAATATAAATGCATGCCATTGTCATGGCGCACTCCTAGATCTCGCAGAATCCGCTTCAGCCACTTCAGCTTACGAGTACAAGCATTCATAGAACGATACTCTGCCTCTGCAGAGCTCATAGCCACCGTTGGTTGTTTCTTAGTCTTCCATGATACGGGAGAAAAACCAAGAAACACAAACCACCCTGTCAGAGAACGCCTAGATAACGGACAACTTGCCCAATCCGAATCACACCACCCTTCCAACTGTAGAGCACTATCAGACCGTAACAAGATCCCTTGACCAGGACTTTTCTTCAGATACCTTACAACTCGCAAGGCCGCATCCCAATGTTCTACCCTCGGACTTTGCATAAATTGAGATAAAATATGCACAGAATAGGCCAAATCCGGCCTTGTAACCGCTAAATAAATTAGACGCCCTACAAGACGTCTATACTTCTCTACATCACCTAATAATTCCCCATTAGCCAGAGCTAGCCTGTGGTTTTGCTCCATGGGAAATTCTGCAGGTTGTGCATCAATCAAACCCATTTCTGTAATTATGTCCAAGGCATACTTCTTCTGACACATGAAAATACCCTGCTTGCTTCTGGCTAGTTTTAGCCCTAAAAAATATTTCAGAACCCCCAAGTCTTTCATCTTGAAGCAATCCCCCAAATATGTTTTGAATGACAATAAAGTAGACTTATCATTCCCTGCAACAATTAAATCATCGACATATACCAACACATTAAGTTGCATAGTCCCTCTCGTCAGAGTAAAAAGGGAATAATCATAGTATGATTGTTTAAAACCATACTTCTTCAGAGCCGTTGTCAGTTTTGCAAACCAACACCGAGGAGCTTGCTTGAAGCCATACAATGACTTCTTCATCCTGCACACTTTTCCAGAATTATTTTTATCAAAGCCAGGGGGAATTTTCATATATACCTCTTCCTCCAAGTCACCATGTAAAAAGGCATTATGAACGTCCATTTGATGAACCTCCCAATTCTTCACTGTCGCGACTGCAAGAAATGTTCTAACAATCACCATCTTTGCCACGAGAGCAAATGTCTCGTTCTAATCTAGGCCTTCAACCTGATGATTACCGAATATGACAAGTCTAGCCTTCAACCTCAGGAACACCACGGAAATAATAAAGTCCATCCACGCGTTCACCCGCTCCAATCACCTTCCTCGTCGTTAGGTCCTGTATAACACAAATTTTGTCAGTAAATTGTAGAGTGCAATTCAATTCATCACATAATTGAGTCGCAGAAATCAAATTGCAATTCAATTGGGGTACAAGTAAAACGTTAGTAATATTCAATCCCCCTTGTAAAGTAACAGTGCCAATCTTGGACGCATTAGCCCTCTTTCCATCCGGAAGACCAACCGGACAATGTTGAACATTAGTCACATTCGTCATCAAATTCAAATCACAAGTCACATGATTGGATGCGCCGGTATCAACGATCCAACCTTGATGATCCTTACCCTGTAATTTTGGTTTTATATTGTTCAAATGATCAATAAGTTGCTGAATTTGGGTAGGAGAAACACCCACGAGAGCAGCTCCATCAGTTGCCGTAGCACCTCCGCCTTGAGTGGAGTTAGAAGATGGTTGCCCAACAGTTTTGTTGGCTCGAACTTGTTGGCCGGCTGCTGCACCGCGACCCCCTGTTCTGCCAGCTCCTTTGCTAGAACCCGCGTCACCTCGGCCTCTACCCCTACCTCCACGAGGACGATCCCCCCACCATGATGGATAGCCGTTGAGTTGGTAGCAATCCGACTCATTATGACCGATGCGGTTGCAATGATTGCACACCCTATCCGAGCCACCCGTTGCACGCTGAGATTTGGCGGGTGTATCGACCTTGAAGGCCATAGGATTGTCACGCACCTCCCCGCCTTTCAAACGCTCAGCTTGTATTAATTGTTGATAAGCTTTATCAACTGTGGGTAACGAGTCCTGAGCCAAAAGTTGGCCCCTAAGCGAGCCATAAGCCTCATCCAAGCCGATTAAAAATTGGTGTAGGAAATCCTCCTGCCTCAATTTTTCAACTTGAGCCACAATGTTACACTTACACGAGCCACACGAACACACTGGAATGGTGATGTACGTTTTTAGTTCATCCCATATCTTGGAAATGCGACCAAAATACGCCGCGACGGAATCAGTTTTTCCTTGTTTACAATCACCCAAGGACATCTTTAATTGGCAAATTCGTGTGCCACTAACCACACAGAAGCGGTTCTTCAAATTGTTCCACAAGAGATGAGCATCATCATATTCACCAATCGTTGCCCTTACCGAAGGGTCCAACGTATTAGTAATCCACGAGACTAACATTGAATGAATAGCCTCCCAATCCTCCAGTTTCTCTTGATCCGATGGTTTCTTGATGCTTCCATCAAAAAACCCGTACTTGCGCTTAGCCTTCAACGAGGTTCGAATAGCCCTCGCCCATTCATCATAATTTTCACCCCGTAGTTGTATCGGAGTGATAATATTCCCAGGTCCATCACTCGAACCAAGGTGATAAATCATGCCCACCTTAATTTTTCCACCATCTCCGGAGCCGCTACCTCCTGTCATTGCTCTCGACTCACAGGAAAGAATTAAAAAAAAATTAATTTGGACCAAGAACTCGATGCACAGACTCAAGAACTCACAGCAAACGAACGTTGATTATGTAAATCAAACGCACGAAAAAAAATTTAAACCTTAATTGGCTCTTGATACCATGACAAAATAGGGAGAAGAGAGAATGGAATGACTTGATTATTATTCAAGAACAGGTTGAGTATTTATACAAAACCTAAGCTCATAAGATAGGAAACAATCTTCCTAAAAGATATACGTCTAACCATAAACCCTAAAGATATATTCTCAAAATAATATCTTAACATAAATATCCTAATTAAATATATTATTCTCTTAAATGATATCTATGACACATATATTTTCCGATATCTCTAACACCCTCCCGCAATCGTAACGGCAGTAACACGAACGTTGCGATTGGAAATTCTTCTTTTGTTGAAGTCAAGATGCACTCTTTGGTGATGTCGCCTTTAATTTTTTTTTTGTCTCTTCTTTTTCAATGATGAGAACGTTCATCTTCTCGAACTCATCAGTCATCAATCAAACGGGAACGTCATTCTTTTCGAACCTGCAAATATAACAATTTTTGGTTTTTCCAGAGCAAAACCGAGCTCCAATCAAATATTGGTTTGTCAGAGTAAAACCATACTCAAATTTCTTATTGGTCTTTTAGAGTAAACCACACTCAAATTTCTTATTGGTCTTTCAGAGTAAACCACACTCAAATCCAAAGGAGCAAAATTATGCTCGAATCAACTCACAAACCTTGTCTCACGGCACAAGGAGAACCAATTATATCTTGTCTCACGACACAAGAGAGCCGATTTTTTTTTTTTTTTCATCTTTGAGAGTCAAAGACACACCAAGAACTTTATTTTGATCTCAATGCTTAGAAAAGCCACGCATGATGTAATGTATACATCAAGTCATCAACTCAATGCTTAGAAAAGCCACGCATGATGTAATGTATACATCAAGTCATCAACTCAAACTCTGCACCAACACTAACTTGCACAGCGGAATAAACTAAAAAAAAAATTTGGTAATTTTTGCTAAAGGATCATCCCACCGGTGGGTTTAATTTCTAACCCACCGGTAGGGGGGAAATTTTTTATGAACGGTCCCAAAATTTAACCTGCTCTTGATACCATGTTAAACTAAGCACAAAACATCAAAGAATACTTTCTGTAATTCTCATTCATCACAAATATCACAATACATGAATATATAACACTTAGGATAATAATATCCTCAATATTCTGTCATATCTTTTCATAAGATATGTTTCCTAAATTATGCACAATAATATCACAATAAGATAATTCTAGATACACTAGAATATCTCCAACATGTCATAGATATCATTTAACAAAGTAGATTCCAATTGGAATGGTTTCCTTTAGATTTGCCATTGTAATGTAGATAATGGAATTTGAGAGGTTTCAAGTTTGGCCCATTAAAATGGATGGCGATTTTGACGTATTTAATCTGAAATTCTAAACTATAATCTTTAAAGTACAGTACAAATTTAGTCCCTTTAGATCAAAATAGCCTCCAAAGCCTTTAATGTAACATTTTAGTATTTTACAACGCGCAAAAATATTTAAAATTGGAGAGTGGGCCCCACTAACGGAATTAATTAACAGTGAGATAATGGCAAGGTTACTATATAGTCACTAAATGAACTTGCGGGTTACTATATAGAAGTTTTAAAAAGTAAAGGCACAACGTAGAAATTCTAAATAGCGGGTTACATTGTAGAATTTCCTAATATTATATATCTCTCTTCTCATGGTCCCCACCTAAACTCACCACTATTTTTTTTTAATTATATATTTCCTCTCACATTTATTATTTTTCAATAAACTATAAACCCCACTATCTTTGTTTTACAATTTTTTAATACTCCAACTACCCCACTTACCGCTTATTTTATTTAATTCAAATAAATTGCCTAAAATTATGTGTTGGTCAAAGTGTAACACTTAAAAAAACACGGAGAGAGTATAGATGTTGCTCAGAGCCTCAAACAATTAATTATTATCTAATAACATCATTTTCGAACGTTATGTAAGCTTGACAAATCTTTATAAATTTTACATATAATAAGCTCGTGCATTAAACAGGTCCAAAACTAGTCTATCTATATCTATCTATACTTAGTATTTAAAAACACAAACTATCGTCCTCATTATGCAACATGTAAATTAATTTTTTCACCAATGTCACATGTTAATTCATCATTTAACCTTTCTTTTTTTTATTCCCCTTTCTCATATTTAAAAAAAAAATTAAAAAAATAGCTTTAAATCAAAACATGTATGGATGTTGTTTGGTTCACTTTGCTTAAATTAAATATGTTCTATAATTACATTCAATTTTCACCCCTTCTTCTCCTTTATAAATTACTTATTTTTCAATAAAAACATATTATAAAATTAACATTTATATTGTATACCTATAAAAAAATCTGTCCTTTTCAAAAAAAAAAAAAAAAAAAAAAAAAAAAAAAAAAAAAACTATAAACAATACGGGACATATGGCTAGTTAAAAGTTTTAAAATCTAACCCACCTTCTCTTTCCAGCCTCATTCCCAGTGACGACAAAAACCACAATCAATACCACTTATTATTTATTCTATCCTCCTCCTTATTAGCCATTACCACCACCTATCTTTCTTATATTTTTTTCTATCACATCAACCACCACTGCCACCACCATACTATCACCAGCACCCTCACGAAGTTACCTTCTTGCTATCACCGCTCCTCCTCACTTATCACTTTTTTTGGAAATCTTTTAGATTTAAGCTATTTTAGGTTAGGTGTTCTAGGTTTTGAGAATATGGGTTGTTAGAGTGGCTTTTAACTAGTTTAGGGGTTTAAACGGTGTGGAGTTGGGTTATTAGGTGAATGGTTAGGATTACGACAATGTGGTGGGGGTGGGTTATTGGCAGTGGCGGACTGGGCCTTGTGCCTGGTGGGTCAAATGACTCACCAGGGCCCAAAAAAAATTTTAAGTTTTTTTTTTTTAAAAAAAAAATAAAAATAAAATTTCTAACTTCTGAGTTAGCCCTAGCCCACTTCGCCAGTTCGCCTCTTCCTCAGTTCCTCTTCGCTTCATCTTCCTCTTCGCATAATCGCATCTTCCTCAGTTCCTCTTCGCTTCATCTTCCTCTTCGCTGGGTTGCTGAATAGCACTTGCTGTGATTCTTTTGTAAGTTTCTAGGTTTTTATTTAATTTTCTCCTTGTGTATATATGATTGGGTGAGTAATTATAGATTTATCTATTCAGCTATTCTTTGGGCTAATTGGTTCTCAATTTTCTTAATGGGGGAAATTGAGGGGTAGTCGAACACTATCTTTTATGATGTAATTATTTTCCAAGCTTTAACATTTGTTTTTCTAATTAATGATCACACGGATCTAATTTGACATATGGCAGATTCTTAATCTTATCTTTGCAGTCTAATAGTTGATGATGATTGGTATAATGGCTTTTTATAATGTTAATCTTATTCTAGTTTATTGCGGTTTATAAGAAAATCTATATTTTTTTTTTTCAACATTCTAGGCTCTGACCATTATCATGTCGCTGGAATTACTTTTGCTAATGTAGACAACTGATAAACACAAATTCCATTCATGTTTGTTATTTTTACATTACTATATCTTGAGATATACACCCGGGTGTTTAATCGGATTTTCTACGGGTAAATCCTAGTTATTTATTGGAGGAAAACAATCTCTATCCATGGTATTAGAAGTTCCTAGTTTGTTTGATTAGCCGCTTTTGTGTGTAGGGATATGGGGATAGAGAGAGAGCAGAGTAGCACATCCGAAGCCGAAAGAGAGGAAAAAAGAATTGTGATGCTGGCATGGAGCGATGAACGCTTGCCTTCGGAAAGACTACAAGGTGGTACTCAATTATATCACACTCGTGCAGAATTTCACTCGGTGGATCTGAAGCACAATATATTAACTCGTTCTTGCTTTCCTTCAATTATCATGGCTAAGTTCTTTTCATCTGCCATGGTGTCATCTTTGAATAAATTTATCTACTTAGTGGGAGTGGGAGGAGCGCGATTATCTGTCGTCCAATCATCTAATGAGTCTTCCTCTTCCAACCACACATTCTACTCCGGCGGTTCATGTCTTGACATGTCTGATGAGGCTCCAGTGTGGTGTCCAGCTCCTGTCTTCTTTGAGGATAACACTTCTCCCAACTATGTTAGCTTTCTTGGCAATATTTACAACTTTGGATCTGTTTGCCTTGCGCCCCAGGTTCTTGAATGTGGTGCCCTTGGCCACTGTAAGTCAATTCGCTCTCTCCCTATCCCTCAAAGCCTTGCTGGTTGTAGTGTGTCTGTTCCTGTACTTCCCGACCCTTCCAACAAACGCATTCTTATGCGCCTCTATGGTGGTCCCCTTTCGTCGCCTTCCCTCTATGCTTTCACTCCCGATCCTTGTGCTGATGCTATTGGGACATGGGAATGTCTCACCTCTGATTTCCATCTTTGGGCTCATGCTGCTGCTGTTGTTAATGGGGTCATATATTTTCACTGCCATAAAGTTCCATCTCTTCTTTGTGCTTTTCATATAACCAAGAAAATATGGTTGAAAGTCTGGTGGGATTCGTGCTTTAAGGACAATGTTAATATGAATGCCGAAACTTTTAATTTCGATGCAATGCTTCATTTGGGCCACAATATTTTGTGCTTTGCTGGTTGGACACCAATATATTCCCGGACTGCTGTTTTTACCATCGAAGTCATATTTTACAAGTTCCAAGTGTTGGTCACCGGTGAAACTGTAACCGTCAAGGTCTGTGACTCCTACTCATATGAACTTCCGGGAAGTACCAATGTGTTTCATTTCCTCCCCATTTAGCAGGTACTCTTCTCCATCTAACCATCTCTTATTCTTGCTATTATTCTGTTACTTACTATCAAGGTATTTTACTGCCTCTTTTAATGTGGATTCGATTTATAATGCTAAATTTGTTCATCAACTTAGTTGTAAGAGGCATTGTTGGATAAATTTTCATTCCCAAAAATTTGGTTGTTTGGTAAAAATTTTTTTTACATATTTGGTTATCGATTGTGACTCACCAGTCGGAAATTCCTGGGTCCGCCACTGGTTATTGGGTTGGTGGTTTTGTTTTTATAGGGTGGGTGTGGTTAATACTAAGAAGAAGAAGATAGGAGATCTTTGATGGGGTAAGTTCGCGATTGTTTTGGGGGGTGGGTTAGTGATTGTGGGTGGTTTGAAGGTGGGTTTTTGGTCATGGGTCGGGGTTGGTTTTGAGGGTTGATATATGGTTGCTGTTAATTAGGTGGTTTGTGGTGTTAGAGGTGCGTGGGTGGGGGTGATATGCGGTGGTACATGAGTTGGAGGTGGATTGAGGGTGGTTGCAGGGGTTGACTAGTGATGGTTGCGGGTTGGGGTGAGGTGGATTTAGTGTGTATTAGGAAAGATAAATATTGTGAAATAAATTTAATTCATGTGATGTATGCCCTCGGACAAAACAACATAGGAGTAATTTTCCTTTGAATCAAAATAAAGCTATTAGAATTTTCGAGCTAGTTCACTTAGATTAATGGGGCCCGTACAAGACTCCATCGTCTTGTGGTGCTCACTATTTTTTCACTATCGTAGATGATTATTCTAGGGGTGTGTGAATTTATTTAATGAGAAATAAAACGGAAGTTGAGTATATGTTTCTTAATTTAGTTGCTATTGTTCGACGTCAATTCTCTTAAGAAATTAAAGTTGTTCGTAGTGATAATGCTACGGAATTTAATTCCTTGAAAGAGTATTTTTTTACAAATGGAATCATTTTTGAGACTTCATGTGTGGGCACGCCTCAACAAAATGGGCGTGTTGAGAGAAAACATCAACATATCTTGAATGTTGCTAGGGCTTTACAATTTTAAGCAAATTTACCTTTAAAATTTTGGGGGGGATTGTGTGGAAGCCGCTTATCATTTGATCTATAGAACCCCATCTCGATTGCTTAATTTTAAAACCCCCATTGAAATATTATTTGACAAACAACCTACATATGAGCATATTAGGGTGTTTGGGTGCTTATGCTATGCGTATAATCAAAGGAGTAAAGGTGACAAATTTGCTAGCCGTAGCCGGAAATGTGTGTTTATAGGATATCCTTTTGGGAAGAAGAGATGGAAGGTGCATGACTTGGAAACTCGGGAAATTTTTGTGTCAAGGGATGTTTAATTTCATGAAACCAAATACCCCTACATAACCCTTATACTTGATGAGAAAAGAGTAAGTGATGACCATTTTGTGGAAGCGGGGGTGAGTGATGATGAGTGGGGCGTGAAATTTGAAAGGGAGAGTGCGAGTGCGGGGGGCAGTGAGGAGACTGTGAGTGAGAGGGAGGTAGGGAGTAGTACGGGGGAAGCAACGGTGAGAAACAAGGAGGCAGAGAGAATTGAGGGGGAGGCAGTGAGGTCCGTGAACCCCCCCCCCCCCCCCCCCCCCCCCCCCCCCGCGACCTGCAGACACAGCCCGCGACCAGGCCATGGAGTCCCCTACCAGGCCATCAGATCAAGCCGCAGGATCTCCAGCGAGCACTGATGTTGATGTCCTTATTGGCAGCTCGCAAAAGCCCCCTGCCCACACTGGATCATCCCCTTCGAGACACCCACACTTAGGGATGTTAAAAAATACCCGACCAGTTGACCCGCCGGGTAATTTTGAATTTTTCCAATTTTGCGGGTCGGGTACCTGACCCGTTAAAATATCAGATTTGCGGGTCGAGTAATGGGCCGACCTTTAAGTGTTGCGGGTACCTGTTAAATACCCAGGGTTTTTTTGTTTAAATTTTCTTGGTTGGAACTCAAATTAGGGTTACTTAGTCATCTCTCTCCTCAGACAATTAGTAGACGCATCTCAATTCTCAAGCTTACCCCTCTTCTCTCTTCTCTCTCCTCTCTCCTCTTTCCTCGCTCACTCTCAATTCTCAAACACACACTCTCAGGCGACCCTCCTTCCTTCCTCTCAGGCGACTGACGTCCTCCCTCTCAGGCGAACCTCCGTCGACCGTTAGTCCCTCACCGACCACCGTCGGCCGCGTAAAGGTTGGTGTTTTTCTCGAATTGTTTTAGTTAATTTTTCTTTGCTTATGTTAAATTCTAGTCAAGCTGTTTTTAATTACATTTTTTTGGGTTTTTCGTCGAATTTTCTTGGTTAATTTCTTTGCTTATGTTGGATTATACTCAAGTTGTTTTCAATTACATTTTTAGGGCTTTTTGTCAAATTTTCTTGGGTAAATTTCGTTGCTTATGTTTAATTATACTCAAGTTATTTTCCATTACATTTTTAGGGATTTTTTTTGAATTTTTTTGGGTTAATTTGCTGATTATGCGTGATTATACTCCAGTTATTTTAAATTACATTTTTTAGGGTTTTTATTCGAATTTTTTGGGGTTAATTTGTTGATTAAGTGTGATTATGTTTGACAAGTTATTTTCATGTTTGCTTGCATTTTGTATTATTTCGCTGCTTATGTTTGATAAGTTATTTTCATGTTTGCTTGTTAATTCTTTGTGATATTCTACAATTGATACATGTTTTTTTTTTGGAATGATTTATTTTGTGCAGGGGTTAAGACTTGGTTTCGGAGCAACCAACAATTATCATTAATATAATGAGGCAATTGAAGCTTCGGATGTCACGAGTGTATGAAATGATCCTCTCTCCCATTTTGTTTGATTTGTGGCTTTGAAATATCATTTGGACTTTGTAATTTATTTGGTTGTTTTGTTGTTTTAATTTGATGTAAACTCCTTAAACTCTCTGAACTCTCTCTAGCTAGACACCTTGAACTTTGAACTTTAACAGCAGGTTTATAATTCCATATTAATAGCATGTGTGTGTGTGTTTTTTTTTTTAAAAAAAAAAGCATACATATTAAAATTTTGGGTACCCGATCAGCGGGCAGGTACCCGCTTTTACCGGGTCGAGTAATGGGCCGTCAAAATTACTTACTGCACTTCCGGGTACCCGAAATCCCGGGTACCCGGTGATGAACACCCCTACCCACATTGCAGCCAGCATTAAGAACACAACAACCAACAGTGTGAACGAGGCCTTGGGTAAAGACATGCGACCTAAAATTCTGTTTATGAAGCTACGTGATTATGTAACTCACACGATCCGAAATAATAGTCCATCTACATCTTAAAGTTCACCTGCGACGTCACTTCCCTCAGCTATTGTTTACCTTTTAACAAATTGTATTGACTCTCACTGGTTTTCTGTGAAACATAGAAAATATATTGCTGCTATTACAGAAGGAAATGAACCTAAAAGTTTTAGGGAGGTCATGAAACATGAGGGTTGGAGGAAAGCAATGGCAGATGAGATCCAAGCACTAGAAGAGCAGGGTACTTGGGTGCTAGAAAACTACCACCTGGTAAAAAAGGCACTAGGAAGCAAGTGGGTGTACAGAGAAAAATATGATGAGCATGGGAATTTGCAGAGATTGAAAGCGAGATTAGTCATATTTGGCCATCATTAGGTTGAAGGGTTAGACTACGACGAGACTTGCTCTTGTAGCAAAAATGGTGACGGTTCGAACATTTCTTGCAGTAGCGGCGGTGAAGAATCGGGAAGTCCATCAAATGGATGTTCATAATGCGTTTCTTCATGGTGATTTGGAAGAAGAGGTATATATGAAAATTCCCCCTGGTTTTGAGAAAGATACATCTGACAAAGTTTGCAGGATAAAGAAATCTCTGTACGGGCTTAAACAAGCTCCAAGATGCTGATTTGCAAAGCTTGCTACAGCTTTGAAAAATGATGGCTTTAAACAGTCATATTATGATTATTCTTTATTTACTCTGACAAAGGATAAAATGCATCTCAATGTGTTAGTATATGTCGATGATTTAATTGTTGCAGGCAATGATAAAAATGATATGCTCAGTTTTAAACCATATCTGGGAAATTGTTTCAAGATGAAAGATCTTGGAGTGTTGAAATATTTTTTGGGGCTAAAGGTAGCCCGGAATAAACAGAGAATTTTTATCTTTCCAGAGGAGGTATGCATTGGATATTATTATTGAGGCCGGTTTACTTGATGCTAATCCTGCAGATTCCCTATGGAACAAAATCACAAGTTAGCTTTATCTCAAGGAGAATATTTTCATGATTTTGAGAAATATCGTCACCTCATAGGTCGACTGATTTATTTATCTGTTACGAGACCCGATTTAGCATACTCTGTGCACATTTTATCACAGTTTATGCAAAATCTCGGGATTTATCATTGGGAAGCAGCTGTGTGAGTTGTTAGATATTTGAAGAAGAGTCCGGGACAGGGAATTTTATTGAGATCTGATAATGCTTCACAGTTGGAAGGTTGGTGTGATTCAGATTTGGCAGGTTGTATTCTCTCCGGACGATCCTTAAGTGGTTGGTTTGTGCTTCTTGGTTTTTCCCTAGTGTCATGGAAAATCAAGAAGCAACCTACTGTTGCTCTTTATTTATCAGAAGCAGAATATCGTTGTATGAATGCAACGACTTGGGAACTCAAGTGGTTGAAGCGACTTCTTGGTGACTTAGGTGTTAAACATGAGAATGGGATGCACCTTTATTGTGATAGTCAGTCTGCGTTATACATTGCGCATAATCCAGTGTTTCATGAACGAACAAAACATATTGAGTCAGATTGTCATTTTGTTCGGGATGCGATTACAAATGGGACGATTATACACTACTATAAAATTGGCCAAAGAGACCTAACATAAAAGACATGTTATCTACATAACGTGTCTCTATGGTCCAAGAGACCTGGTATATACCTTCGTATGTTCCTACGACGGTTGAGTTGGCTGACATTTTTACTAAGGCTTTGGGAAAAGCTAAATTCGAGTTTCTTCTTCGCAAGTTGGGTGTCCTAGATCCGTACTCTCCAACTTGGAGGGGGGTATTAGGAAAGATAAATATTGTGAAATATTGTGAATATTATGAAAGATATCTTATAATATCTTGTGATTATCTTTAGGTTATTTGGTCTTGCCCTCCAAGTATCCTAGTCTATATATTTGTATATGG